TCTCCTGAATTCAATTTGCTTAGCTCCCAATCCCAATTTGAATTACTTTGACCTTGACTTCGAAATTGGCTCCCAGACTTCTCCTGAATTCAATTTGCTTTCGAAATTGACTCGCTCCCAGACTTCTCCTGGTTTGGTTTTGAATTAACGTCCAATCCCAATTTGAATTACGCTGCCAGACTTCTCATGGTTTGGTTTTGAATTAACGTCCAATCCCAATTTGAATTACTTTGACCTTGACTTCGGTTTTGAATTAACGTCCAATCCCAATTTGAATTACTTTGACCTTGACTTCGAAATTGGCTCCCAGACTTCTCCTGAATTCAATTTGCTTTCAAAATTGGCTCGCTCCCAGAGTTCTCCTGGTTTGGTTTTGAATTAACGTCCTCTTTTGCATTGGCCAATTTGAATTACTTTGACCTTGACCTTGACTTCAAAATTGGCTCCCAGACTTCTCCTGAATTCAATTTGCTGAATTAACGTCCTTTTTGCATTGACTGGTTTTGAATTAACGTCCCAATCGGCTCTCCTTTCTCCTGAATTCAATTTGCTGAATTAACGTCCTTTTTGCATTGACTGGTTTTGAATTAACGTCCCAATCGGCTCTCCTTTCTCCTGAATTCAATTTGCTGAATTAACGTCCTTTTTGCGTCCTTTTTGCATTGACTGGTTTTGAATTAACGTCCCAATCGGCTCTCCTTTCTCCTGAATTCAATTTGCTGAATTAACGTCCTTTTTGCATTGACTGGTTTTGAATTAACGTCCCAATCGGCTCTCCTTTTTTGCATTGGCTCGAAATTGGCTCGCTCCCGGTTTGGTTTTGAATTAACGGCTCTCCTTGCTCTCCTTTTTTGCATTGGCTCGAAATTGGCTCGCTCCCAGACTTCTCCTGGTTTGGTTTTGAATTAACGTCCTTTTTTGCATTGGCCAATCCCAAACTTCTCCTGGTTTGGTTTTGAATTAACGTCCTTTTTTGCTTTGCTGAATTAACGTCCTTTTTTTGCATTGACTGGTTTTGAATTAACGTCCCAATCGGCTCCCAAAATTGTAGATGGTGAGATTCGAATTTTAGCCATTTCATATAATACATCAGGCATCTTCCAACTCGTCCATACGGTCTATTGGTTACATCTCCAATCATCTTTGATGTACTCCTTTCTTTCCATAGATGCTTGATCTCCAAGTCAAATTCATGCAATCTTCCAATCTTAATTTTCTTCAATGAAAATTCTCCTGGGAATTCCTTTTTAGTAGCATCGACGTGAATTTCATAGTATTCTTCTTCTTCTTCAAATTTTCATTTTCACCAGACAAATTCTTGAATTTCGACTTGATATATTCTTCTACTACTTTCATGCATCTTCCTCTATTTTTCTCTTTTGCAACTTAAATAATTTCCCGATCATGGTCTAAGACTCTACTAGACCTATATAAATAAAATTGGGGGTTCTACAAATACATATTTGGCATATCAAAACTATTACACTTTATTCCTAACACATGTTTTGCATGTTTAGCATTAAAGTTTGTTGAGAAGTATAACACTGTGATGTTGTTTAATGATTGACTTGATAACATGAGTTTGTTTGTTAAGTTTAAGGATCTTTATCTATCAGTTTTGAGCTTGAGTTTGAGTATTTCGCCATGATTAGAAATATCAGTTAAAGCATGAGATCTATGTTAAATTGAGTACTTGAGTAAGCATGCCTACTTGTTGATTAGGAGGCAAGCATATAGAATTATTGTTGAGCATGATCTGTGTTGTTGTTTATGAGATTGAAAGTACTTGAGCTTAAGTGTATTTGTCAAATGATTTTCAAATCTATATCTATAGTACTTTACAGGGTTGAGTGGCGTTATACTTAGCATTTGTGTTAATGGGTTATTTTTCCTATTTGCTTGTTTTGTTAACCCCTTTCAGGTGGGCCAAGTGTTTGAGCGCGCTCGAGATAGTTTAGAGCGTAGTTATGAGTTGTTAGTTGCTAGTTCATATTTGTTCTAGTTGTTGATGTTTAAACTTTGGAGTTTAGTTACTTTGTTGACCTTTTGTTGGTGTTTGACACCAGGGTTGTATTCCCCAAGTTTATTTGTAGTTTTTGTGTTGAGCTTGACTCTAGATAATACCTTTCTTAGCCTGTGCAGTCATCATGTGTGGTGACTGTGGCGGTGACACCCTTTGGGATGGTTTTAAGTTATTAATCTTATCTTAATCTTTCTTAGTTTGTCTTTAGAAGTTAAGTGTTGTGATTTAGATTCAATAAAAGTGGGGTGTTACAATGTCATTCTCAAAGGGATGGCAACTTAGAGTGGTTCAACTGTGGAGTAATCATAAGTGATGCAATGGCAAGTGTAGACTAGGTGAAAGTGAAACAAATGTAACAAGAGGCATTGATTTGAAGTTCACAAGTCCGAGTAAGCAAGAGTAACGGAAGTAATCAAGTAAAGGATGGGGAAGTGGATTAGATCTTCTTGCTCTTATGCATTCGGTGTGTCTATAGTAGAGTTGAGATGGTGCATCTTTTAACTATCTTTAATTTGGAAGACATTTTACTAGTACTAAGCCGCTCCGTTCCTAGCCTCTTAGGAAATTATTTGGCTAAGGCATTTTATCAAACACTTTGTCTACATGTCTCCTTCCAGACTTTGTCTTCCCGGATCTAAGGCGGGAAGTGAACAAGACTATAGTGAGACCTCAATCTCTTGCAAGCCTCACTCTCTCAAAGTCCCAACACAATGTGGCCATCAAAGTGCAATCAAGTATCAATACCAAGTTCACTCACAACAAAGACATAATGTTATCAATGCACCAACTCTTCTCAATTAATCAGTTAAGTTCTAGAATGCATAATCACAAGAAAAAAACCTAATCCAATTCCAAGTAATTTCTAACCACACATGTTCTTTGATCAAGAGCAATTGCACAATGGATTATGCAAATTGAAGTAAAAGAAATTGAAATTAAAATATCACTTAGCTCCAATGAGAATTTCAATCAATCTTTAACAAAGTCTCCACTCCAAGCCAAGAAGAGAATCTAAAGATCCAAACAACGTGTTAAGTTACTTTGAACCCTAGACTTTTTCCCTCTCTAGAATTGGAAGTGTTGCTAGAAGTGAAAAACTAAAACTAAGTCTAACTACTAATGTCAACTTGACATGCTCTTTAAACACTTATGCGCCTCTCCCCACGATCGTGGTATAGATGTCGTGCATAATCCCGTGACTATACCACCACGATCGTGGCGGTTGTCGTGCAGCTTGTTGTTTCTTCGCCACGTCTGACACCACAATCATGGCAACCATCGTGCAACTTGCTGATTCTTCACCATGATGCTCTGCACGATTGTGGCAATGCCACTGTGTAGACTTCACCAACAGTGCTCCAAAATGCTCACAATTTGAGCCCAAAATCCTATAAAACATTAAAATGCATCTTCTAACTATCCAAATACCTCAACCATGGCAATTTGTACTCATTAGCCTCTCATTCAAACAAAAAACATCTCAATCAAGCATAAAACAATCCCAAAATAACCGCTCAATAGATACATCTTTGGCACTTATCATATATCGTATGGTCTCTTTGAGGTACAAAATATTTTTGCATTGATGCGAGAAATCAAGATACGATTTTGATGGCTACTTGGGTATTGTCTATTTTGTTTGATCTCCATGATGCCTAGTCTGAAAGTAGTTATGCTACGTTTTATCCCTAATGTCCTATATGAGGAGAATAAATCTTCTTGATAGGGAATATCTTCTAGGTGTATGCCCATGTATGCGCTCGGTATATATGCCTAGGACCGAGAGGTCCATTTCTCAAGCATAACCGGCCGCACTGAGTCTATTCTGACCCGACTATAGCTAAAAAGACAATCCTTATAGAGTTATTATATTCAGGGCCGAATTTTAGACTGTGCGAGCCAGGCTACAGCACAATGCCCCAAATTTTAGAGGCCAAATATTTAATTTTTACCTAGCTAGTTTCGAAATAAAAACTAAAATTTTTCAATTAAATTTAAAAGGCTCCATGAAGAAATGGTAGAATGTGTTTATTGTATTTTACTTTGGAGGTCAGAGGTTCAAAACTTGTTGTGCCAGCTTTGGAAATATTCATATTTTTTTTAAAAATCCTTTTGCATTGCGAGTTTGCGCACACTATTATTATTATTATTATTATTATTATTATTATTATTAGAAAAAAGTACGGTATTGATTTTAAAGATTGTGATTTTGGTAGGGTCTCATTTATTACCAGAATAGGGTTACAAAAATCTAAAAATCGGCCATAATTATATTCATCATTATGCCTTATGTTTCGCACTCGGGATTAATTTCCCGACCTTCCATGCTCGGATCGGGTATCCCAAACATAGAATTCTCAGCATTAGAAGACAAACACAACTACATCATTTCACCCACTCACATTGTAATAATACAAATGTCGGAACCACGTGGTACTACGAACCACCACCACTACTTATTATTATTATTATTATTATTATTATTATTATTATATATACCAAATAATATGTTTTTTTTTTCAAGAAAATATATATATATATATATATATATATATATATATATATATATATATATATATATATATATATATATATATATATAACTTAACAAATAAATTTTTGTATCTTTAGCAAAATATTCAAATATTATATTATTTTCTAAAAAATGAGTTATTTTCTAAAAAATAATTTTCAGATTTTCAAACGGATCTTAAATGTAAATTTTAGATATGCTAAAGTTTATTTTGTGTGAATACATTATTTGAGTACGAATATATATTATACAAAATAATGTATCTTTAATACACAAATAATATTCATTCGGTATATTAAAATTGTACATTTATTCACGGTGCACAGTATAATTTGCTTAATATATGGTGACCAACTTGATAAAGCAGCCATATTTTATAATTTATTTTGTTAGGTAGTCAGGAATGTACAGCCCAGATCTGAGAACCTAATTATCAATAGGCCGCCCGGGCCCGGCCCGCCAATAACGAATACACTTTTGCGGATCTGCTGCGCTTGCCATAACAAATACGAAGGCAGCTTTTGGGAATTTTGTTGCCCAAACACTCCTCCATCAAACAGTCAAACACCTCCCAGGTTTGCTTTCATTTCTCGATTATTGGTTTCTTTGATCCGCGGTGAATTCTCAGGCTGTAGTTTGTGGAAAGTGTTATCCTTGATCTGTAAGAGGAGTGATTTTTTCTTGATTTTTTGTTAGGGCTGTGATTGTGCGAGTAGAAGAGGATTGATATGTCTGGAATTGTAGGTCGCAAAATGGCCTCTACTGGCATTTCTGCTCTGGTAAATCTCGAATCAGTTCAGCTTTAGCTTTTTATTAATTTTTTTTTTTTTTATGTGCTTCGCAATGGATTTTTTATTTCATTATGCATATATACGAAGTGTGTTTCGTTAATTTTTCCTTTTTTTTTTTTTTTTTTTTTTCAAATTTCTTGATTCTAGATTGCAAACAGATTTTTGATGAGAAGCAGGGTATTTGCATCCCGCAGCTTCTCTTCAACGACTAAAGAGGTATTAATAATAATAATAATAATAATAATAATAATAATAATATTATTATTATTATTATTATTATTATTATTATTATTATTATTATTATTATTATTATTATTATTATTATTATTATTATTATTTTCTGTTCCTTTCACTTATGACGTTGAATTGTTGTGTTGTTAGCGGATCATTAATAGTGTCCTTAAGTTCTATCACAGATAACAGTGCGTGATGCCTTGAATTCAGCACTTGATGAAGAAATGTCTGCGGATCCTAAGGTCTTTTTAATGGGTGAAGAGGTAATGATCATGGTGTTCTTTTTATATTGTATTCTCCTTTTTTGGTAAATAGTTTGATGTATGCAAGTTTTTCACCTTGTTGATATGATTTTTCATGATTTTTCTATGTTTAAACAGGTTGGTGAGTACCAGGGGGCATACAAGGTCTGAGATGTTGTCTTTTGCTTCCTTTATTATCCTACAGCCATCCTCTCTCCATTGGCCATAGCCATTTTCTTTTTGGTCTAATAGTTTTAACTGTTTTCTTGTGAAGATTACAAAAGGGCTTTTGGAGAAGTATGGTCCAGACAGAGTTCTTGATACACCTATTACTGAGGTTGCTCCTTCTTGAGTTATTAATTACATACTTTGAATATTTTGGCTAATGAATGTGATAATTAAGCATTTATTATGTGCTTCTGTAGGCTGGATTTGCTGGGATTGGAGTGGGTGCAGCTTACTATGGTCTGAAGCCTATTATAGAATTCATGACATTTAACTTTTCAATGCAGGTTGGACATCTGGTCTTCAAATATTTGTTGTAAATGCTGTTTATTACATGTCAAAAGTATCTATGTGCACACACACAAAGTTTTGTGGGCCTGAGCTACCCCTTAAACCGTCCTTCCATCCAACCCCCAAGGTCCACCGTTGTTTGTGGTGTTATTATCTGGGAGTTTATTCAGTTAGTCACTGCGTTCTTTATCTGAAAGCCATTGACAGATTTTCTATATTCACTGTTGGCTATTTTTCTAATTGGAAAGTGGAGCCTTCAATCCATTCATTATTAAAATGTTTTAAAGAAAGGAGCTTCTTGTAAGGTCTTTGCTTTATTGGTAATGGAGGATTCTCATCACTGATTTAAGAAGACATGTTGCCTTTCATTTTTAGCTCTGCTGCATGTGACATTATACTCGAGTCATGACTTACTAGGTTGGTAATTGGAGCTTTCTATGGCCCAACAATTTAGAAAACGTTATTCATAAAAATAAGTAAAAATTAAGAGCAAAGTGATTTTTTATTTCCTTTTCTTTGACAAATTTGTCTTCTTTTACTGCTAGCTTGGCCTTTTGGAAGGTGTATATATATGTTTTTAAGAACTTTGCTTGAAGTTTGTCACAAACTTCTTATCTATGTCATTTGGACAAAGGCACAAAGGCAGTGCGTCTAAATAATTAATGCCGATTGTACTTGTATAGTGATTAAAATAGTGTCTATGTTTATAAAATGATAGGCTTGGCCACATCTTAATGGGCTGTTTATTGTATCATCAACAGGCAATTGACCATATCATTAATTCTGCTGCAAAATCAAACTACATGTCTGCTGGTCAGATCTCTGTGCCTATTGTTTTCAGAGGACCTAATGGAGCTGCAGCTGGTGTTGGTGCCCAGCACTCCCAGGTATGGCTTGAAACTTGATACTATTCCTTGGAAAAAGCGCCAAATAGGCCACTGAACTTTTACACTTTGTGCATTAGACCATTGAACAAAAAAGTGCAATTGAGCCATTAGACACACAAAAATTCTGCAAATATCATTTTTTACAAGTTACTTTCATGATTCTGGTAAAACATGATGTCATAATGCCACTTGGTATATAAATTTTTTTTTTCTTTAATAATTCAATAATTGTATAATATATTTTTTAAAATAAAGAAAAAACGTATACAACATATTTTTGCTTTGCTGCAGTGAATTTTGAATGTCATGTCTTCATCCAGTCTTGGTCAACTGACCTTTAGTTTAGACCGGACGGAGGGAGCAGCTATGGATGCCTTCCCTTCGTCCAAACCAGAATAAAGAGGGGGCAGCCATGATGCTGCTTCGACCACATCGGATGAAGGAGGGGGCAGCCATGGCTGCCTCCACCTTCCTCCGATTGGTAAGGACGACAGTGGAGGCAGCGATGGCTGTCTCCTCTGAAGTCCTTTTTTTTTAATGCTTTTTCCTTATTCCTTTTACAGTTTCGTTGTCAGTATTCAGTAATCATTCATTCTCGTACTCACTTGTACACCTCCAATTGTTATTATTTAGATATGTGCTCCCACAAAGCTTTGCATTAATTGTGTCAATCTAGATAACACAATTATTGATAAGTGTACAGTTTTTCAGCTAAGTTGATTAAAATAATAAATAGGGTGAAAGTAGCAAATACTTAATGTAGATAAATTGGCCTTGAGGAATTTTCATTTGTTTATTTTGGAGACTTTGAGAACTGTGCTAGAAAATTAAAATTGAACTACAATGTGTGGATGGCAGCAAGTTTGCTATGGCCTATGGGAAGAGGGGAGAAAATGTTGTGTAAATTATCCATTCTCATATTCTTCTTTTCAATTATGCTTCTACACTTAAAAATCATTGGTTTTAATTCCCAAAACATTTACTATCTGCTAAGTATCAATCCTAGAAAGCTTAAGCATATTTCATGTGGCACTGTCCAGCCAAGGTTTTAGTGTTTGCACTTCTCCCTGAGCCCTTATTTTTGGAAGCTATACTTTGTGTAAGAAAACCCATAATAAGTTCCAAAACCATCAAACAATACCGATCTCCTCAAAAGCCTCTTCCTGCAGTTCGCTTCTGGTCCTTGGAAGCTTGTCTTTCAGTTCTTGCTGTACATTCTAAATTCTAATGCTTAGAAGGAATGTGACCAATGTAGATTCTCAAAGTCATTGACTAGTTTCTTGGAAATTTTAGAGGTTTAGGGGCCGTTTACTAACTGGAAATTTCTGGAAACTGGAAAATAGAAAACAGAAAACATGTTTACTAACACAGTTTTCCAAACAGAAAACAGAGAATGGAAAATAGAGAATGAAAACTGAAAAATTAGAAAACAGAAAACAGAGAATAGTTTTCTGTTGGTAAACGGACCCTTAGATCCTTGAATTGGATTTAACTTTTTAGGTTTAGTCAAAAGAAATCACTGGTTAGGTGCATGTGGTCAATGCTTAGATAGTGTGGTAAGACATTTCCAGGGGCTGATTTACTGAAATTAGAGTTGGAATGAATTTTAGGCCGCGAGCTACTTGAAACATGGTGTGGTAATGCTTTTTTTTTTTTGGATTGAAATGTACTTGAAGTCAACCTGCCGTGCAAACTATTCTCTAGGTTTAGTTTGTGCAGAGAAAAATGGTGCATATATGTACACGGCCAGTTATGGACTAAGCAATAGTAAGCATTCTGAAATAGGATGCCAACATATTTTGTTATTGCTAGTATCTTAGTATTTCATTGGAATTTCAAAAGGTACTTGCTTTGATTGACTTCTAACTATAGATCTTAAATTTATGCTCAACAACATGTATTTGATGCATCCATAGAATGCTAGTAATCTTTGGTGCTTATAGAAAGGGATAGTTTTAACTTTTCATTTAAAATAAAGTTTCCTTATTTGCTGCATGTCTGAGATTTGCACTAGTTTAAATCATCTATTGCATATTTTACCTTAGAGAATTATAACTATTCAAGATCTCTTCAGTGCTATGCAGCATGGTATGCTGCATGTCCAGGACTTAAGGTTCTAGCTCCATACTCTTCTGAAGATGCTCGTGGGCTTCTCAAAGCTGCTATTAGGGACCCAGATCCTGTTGTATTCCTTGAAAATGAATTGCTGTAAGTACCATGCTATTTATTTTGTTCTACCGAGTATTTAGTTCCTTTTGTTTTCATTTCTTGCTTTTGTCTCTCTTTTTTTCTTCTCTCTCTCTCTCTCTCTTGATTATCTGATCTAGTATTGAGTGTATAATTTGTGCTACAGATATGGCGAGTCCTTCCCTATTTCAGATGAAGCTCTTGATTCTAGTTTCTGTCTTCCAATTGGGAAAGCTAAAGTACACTTCTCCGTGCAATGTAAAATTGTACTTCATTTTGCTAGTATACATCTTTGGTTCCTTACTTAGTAAACATTGACAGATTGAAAGAGAAGGAAAGGATGTGACTATCACTGCTTTCTCAAAAATGGTGGGCTATGCTCTAAAGGTTTGTTGTTTATCTGAAAAAGAAATATTTGAATTCATTTTTGAATGAGTAGTTAGTCCAATTTGAGTGAATCATACAACATATTCTACAGTCTCAGTCTGTAGATCTCTTATAAATTAGCTATTTTTTTAATCAATCCTCATTTTTTGTCCTTAAACCTGTTTGTGTGCTGATGATGTTCCTACTTCCCAGATAATAAACCAATATGAAACAAATATTTGTTGCCTTGTGTTTAGATGTCATTTAATTTTACTTTTATTTGTATGCATCTACTTGAAAATGCTTTTAGCTACAACTTTTTACAGTCCCAAGTGTATTAAACTTAACTTAACTTTCTAGGCTGCAGAGATTCTTGCAAAGGAAGGAATCAGTGCTGAGGTATTCAAGAGTTTGTATTTTGTTTTGTTACTTAGCTTAACAGGATCCGACATTTTCTCACTTTGTTATTTCGTCAACAGGTTATAAATTTGCGCTCAATCAGACCTCTTGATAGATCCACCATCAATGCTTCTGTCAGGAAAACCAACAGACTTGTAACTGTTGAAGAAGTGTTCCCACAACATGGTGTTGGCGCTGAGATCTGGTTATCACCTTAAAATGATCTTTGCTCCCATTTCCCTTCCCCTCTTCCCTACCAAAAAAGAAAAAAAAAAAAATACTGAAACTTCCCCCCTCAACTGTCTTACATTGCTTGTTTTCCTTTCACAATTCCTGATTGATAAATTTTTATCTTATCAGTGCAACTGTTGTCGAGGAAAGCTTTGGATACCTTGATGCACCTGTTGAAAGGATATCGGGAGCTGATGTTCCTATGCCTTATGCAGCAAATCTTGAAAGAATGGCCCTTCCACAGGTTTGTGCTCCAACTACTTCTTCCTGTCTTATTTTTTAACATCATAAATTTGTTTCCACAAGAGCTCTAGCTGTCTTGATAAACTATTTTGTGAGAACATTGAAAACAATTTTACATGAGGAGTAAGGCCCCATGAAGGGGGTGAACCGGGAAAGAGATTTATGCATGAAATGACTAGTAGATAAAGAATAGTTGAAGAACATTTAAGTGATATGACCCAAATCACCGAATGGCATGAATGTGAATCTTCTTGGTGTGTATTTGATCACTTGATTTTAAATTTATATTCTCGTCCCTTGACAGGTTGAAGATATAGTTCGTGCAGCCAAGAGGACTTGTTATAGATCAGTTCAAAAGGCCGCTGCTGCTTAGAATTATCCAGATTGAAATTTGAAATTTACACCTTTATTTACACCTGCCCTTTTGTGGATATTGATTCTTTGTCCACCTCGGTGTTGAGGCAGTCTTCCTTTTGCTCTTAACTTGAAACTTCAGCATGAATGCAACACATAGGACAAACAAATAACTGATATTGAGCAGTGTCGGAATAAATTTTTTGTAAAAAATAAAATTCGCGGGATATATATTTCCCCCATTTTGTCATAACACATTGGAGAAGCCTTGATGTGGACTGCTGAAAAGCAGATATTTCTTCTTATGTTGCAACGCTGTTAACTGTTATGATTGTCACAAGTAGCTCTCAAGTTTGACTTCTTTTTGGGCTTAAATCCTACAAAAAGTTTGACCAAGGTAGAATTTCAATCATTATTGTCCACACATTGTATGGATCATATTTTGTATACGGTAAAATAATGTACATTCAGTATAAAAATAATGTATATTATATTTAGGGAATGTACATTATTTTTATATTGAGTGTACATTATATTGTATAATGTGCATACAATACAAAAATAATTATTTTTTGCTGTGGTATGGAGCATTGTCCACACAATAATTTGCCTTAGAATTTTGAATATTTAAATTCTTCCAATTCTTTTCAGTTTATCTAGACATTGGGGTTTTGATACTTGTAGCGCTGTGCTAACTTTAGTTAATGTTATGGGCGGATCAGGGAATTTTTTTTTATTTTTATTTATTTATTTATTTATTTTTTTTTTTAAGTAGGAGCAAAGTTTAGATGAATTAAAAAATGTGACAAAATATCAAATATAGGAGAGTGTTATTGGTGTGGTTAGATTTTAGTTCTAGGATGTATAACAAAATTTTAAAGAACAACTAATCTATATACATTCAAATTATAAAAAAAAAAAAAAACTAATCTATATAGACAATTAGTAATTTAGGTACACATTTTATTTTTACACAAGTTATTACTGTGTGTATATATATATATATATATATATATATAGGCTCCGGATCCCATGAGGTCACTTAGATGGATGAGATCATGAGGCCTCATCTCATAGGGGTGAGATTGAAAGAGATTTGTTATGCATTTAAGGTAGTAATCTATGCATAAGGGTGAATAAGTAATTGTAATATTGGAGCTATTTATGGTTAAAAATAAATTGGAACATATTCCATGTAAAGGATCAATTGATTATGGGATATAATTATATATTAATGGCAACAAATTAGTATTAATATTGTGAAAGTTGAATTAAAGCATTCGTAATCAGGAACAAAGTGCACGGTGATTTCTCAAGGACACAATGATGGAGCAAATGGTTAGAGGCATGTGCAACCGTATTAGAACTGCATTTTAGCTTTTCGTATGTCTGTGCATATAATATGTTAAGTCTGTGCGTTGCAAATCCGAAGTGTGTGCAGTTAATTTCACGTGTGTCTAATGAGCGCATGAGGAAGGAGTTACAAATCATATTACGTTTAGTATGTACCGCACGAGTTTTAAAAAGTTGAATAGACAATCAGACATTGTGTTTTGATATGAATATATGATATGTGGTTAGGTAACGAGACATTGGTGGAAAAAATATGGTGGAGTTTTGTATTAGAATATGCAAGTTAGGTTGATGCTTGTGCAAGTTTGAGGGTTAGCCTTTGCGAGTGAATTGCTTAGCCTAAGCAAGTAGGACACAAAAGGCTATTACCGTTATATTCTCAGCCTATGCATGTTAGGTTTTATCCATGTGCAAGTTAGAACTTTAGGCTGTGCAACTGAGTGGTAAAAAGTTGAAAAAGGCAATCAGACATTGTGTTTTGATATGATATGTGGTTAGGTAACGAGACATTGGTGGGAAAAACATGGTGGAGTTTAGTATTAGAATATGCAAGTTAGGTTGATGCTTGTGAAAGTTTGAGGGTTAGCCTTTGCGAGTGAATTGCTTAGCCTAAGCAAGTAAGACACAAAAGGCTATGAGCGTTATATTCTCAGACTGTGCATGCCAGTTTTTAGCCATGTGCAAGTTAGAACTTTAGGCTTTGCAACTGAGTTTGTTAGCGTGTGCAAGTTACGACTAAGCAATTATTAACGACTGAGCTTGTAATTAAAAATAATACATGACAGCCAGGTAACAAGGTAACCGTTTGATAACTTGTAAAACTGGGAAATGGAAAAAATTGCATAGTATTGATCAGTTTAGGGATTTAATTGTAGGTTTTTTTAATTGAGTGGCTCAATTGTAGGTTTGTGTGCACTTCGGTGGCCTATTTGACCCTTATTCCTAATTTATCCCAATGTACCCACCACAAAACACATGCACACACCTAAGTCATTCAGACTTCTACCTCCAATTAAATTCATACACTCCTCCCTAATTAATTTTCACAATATTCTTCCATACTCCGTACAAGCTCTGTATACCAAGAATTCAAGTCTAGAACACTACCAACAAACAGTTTAAAATAAATGCACATGTCATACCACACCTATGCAACCACCAAGTTCACAAAAAGCAATACAATTCTAAGGTAAATAAAAAGCAATCAAATACTCCGTAATATTTAACAAATTACAACTCAAAACTTTTGCAATAGTACAAGAATTTACTAATATAATAATTACAAGCACATTAATAATTAATAAGACAATAATAACAAAATGAGGTATAGTGCGGCATTGATCTATTGAAATGCTTTAGTGCTTGACGCCACACAACTTTTGATGGGCTATCTACCGCAACATTTGGATTCCTATCACCATTGTTTCCTGAAAATACCAAGCTTAATGCACAAACAACAAAAATGGTCCAAAACACAAACATATAAAGTGCACAGATCATAATTAATGTTAATTTAGTGTGCATCATATTCCACTATGCACACACGCCTTGACTATCCTGCACACAGCAAATGCGATAGTGCACACCGCACACACCTCACAGCTGATTCGCGCGTACCACATATTTGATGCACACACCGAATTCACCAATGCAACCATTGCACAACACACATACACACACCTAAGTCATTCAGACTTCTACATAAAATTAAATCGCTCCCCTCCTAATTTCCACAAGATTATTCCATACTCCATACAAGCTCTGTATACCATAGTTTGCAGGAAAAAAATTAAAATTAAAATTAAAGCAGGAAACAGAAAGTTTGCAAGGAAAAAAAAAATTAAAGCATATGCAAATAGCTAGAATTAATAGACCTACTAACATAAAAAATTAGACATTTGCATCTAATCTAAATTTATAATGATGACAGAAAGTTGGACTCATAAACCTCCTAACATAAAAATTTAGAGAAGAATTAATATTACCATGATTGAATGACCAATTTAATAATGATGACATTTGCATTTGAATAATAAAAAATGGATAAATCCGGCCATTAGTTAATCACAGTTAATTCAGTGATCAAAACTAATGTTTATAGTTTATTCAACAACTAAATTTCATGTGATGTATGTACATATGTTTTCTTCTCAGCCAAACATCATATGCACAGTTTGCAGAAAAAAAAAACATTAAAATTAAAGCAAAATCACTAGACCTCTGTTCATAATAAGCACACTCCTACATCACCAACGAACCTCCCACAAAACACACACGCACCCACCAGAGAAAAACAGACTCCTAAGAAAAGCCAGTTTATTAAAAAGGAAAAAAAAAAAAAAACATAGAACCCTGGAGACAAAACCCTACCGTGGTTCTCAATTAATGGAGCACTGCCGACAACTGCCGTCGCCAGAATACGAACATCGCCGGCGGCAAAGGCCGACAATGTCGGGCTCCATGAAACACTGGCGAGCGCCGAGCGCCGAGCAGAAACCAACCCTACCCAACACACCAAATCCATCGTGCGATAAAACGGAAACAACCCACCACCAACACACAACATACCTACCAGCGCAGAAACACCACGCTAAACCCCCATCCACGGACACCAAAAATTGCACACCCCACATGCAACAACATCCCACGAACCATATACACAGAAAACGTCGAACTCAAAGTGAATGCAGATGGGATACCTGGAATCCGTGCAGAAGACCCCTGCCTCTGTCTCTTGGACCGCCGCGATGAAGACCCTGCCATGAAGACCACCCGAGACCGAGTCGGAAAATAGCTCTCCGTCAACCGCAAGGAAAAGGAGAAGACACGCCAGAGACTCCAACAGCCTTTCGGAGAGGAATGGATGGAGGAGAATAACGAAAGCGAAGAGTCGGACAGAGTATAATAGAAGAAAGTGAAGAGTCGTTTGTTGAAATCATAAATCATCCGATACAATACCATAATTAGTAGTGCACAAGCCCATAAAATCTGCTAATTAATTATTACACCCTAATTAAGACACTACCAAAAAACAATAACACCCCCACATGCAAAGTAATCTCACGCACAAGGCATTGTATTCAGCCAAATATTTTGAGCTTTGATCCGTGTTTTCCTACTACAATAAATCTCATATATGAGGTGTTTATATTGTAAGTAGAAATATTATAAGATTTTTGAGCTATGCGTTAATGTATTGATTGGGTCGTTATATCGTGCACCGCGATGCATAATCGATTATGCACCGCGCGTCAGACACTACAGTGTGTCTAAACCGACACTGGCTCACGTATTATTTTTATATTATCAAATGAAACTACAGTTATATCAAAATGATACTTTAGTTGTTGTGAAATGAAACTACAGTATATATAAAATGAAACTGAATAACATTTCACATATTTGAGTGGATATTGTAAAATGAAGCTGTAATTATATTCAAATGATCATGTAATTGTGTTCTAATGAAATTATAGTGTATATAAAATAAAATTAAATAACATTTTCACATATTTGAGTGTATAAATATTGAATAAAACTGTAGTTATATCGAAATGAAATTGTAGTTGTGTTGAACTGAAACTGCAGTGTATACAAAATGAAACTGAAGAACAGAGTTATTTTTTGCGAAGATTCAGTTTCTTTTCATTAAATAAAACGACGTTGTTTTGACAGTGTCGATTTAGACATACTATAATATCTGACACAGTGCATAATCGATTATGCACCGCGGTGCACAATATAATTTGCCGTATTGATTTGTACCCATTTAGTACCTAGATGATATGTATATATTTATATATACGATTTGAGTTATTACTATGGGCTGAGTAGTCCAGTGGATTATATTTATTTGTTTATATATAGAATATCGATTATTCGTTGACCTGTTTTTATATAAGCTTATAATCGATTATTAACTGAATAACTAGACATCACCAAGAGGTTCTTTCTCTCACATAATTTCGCCT